ACTATATCTCTATGACGAATACTAACATATAGGAATGCATTATGATTTCATGAATATTCAACAATTCACACAAGGCATGGAGGTATATTTCTATCCCCTATTGGACCCTATGATGATTTATACTATGTCGAACCTATTTTCCTTCTTTCGAATGCATAAAACAGGCTACCAAAATCATATAATTACGTACACAATAATAATATGGAAATGAAAACGTAATAAATCATTCAATTCCGGAACATGCGTTTAAATATGTCAAATATCCAAATCAAAAATTAAACGTAGTATTGCAAGGTTTATCGATCTCCTAGCAATGAAAAATCTAGCCTAACATGCTAAAAATAAGAAAATACAAAAATAGTTGAAGAAACGTCATCATCCGAATCAAGTTTCAATCGAATCTTCACTTGGCGCGATGTTTTCCCTTTGTTCGCTCTTCGTTTTCTCCTTCAAAATCTCCCTTTTTCTTGTAAAAATGGTGTCTCTTTCATTCTGGTCGAGTTTTTGTTTATATAGGGCCCTAAAAATCTTGTTTCCATAAGAGTTTCGGCGGAATAAGGAAACTATGGATTTTGCCTCCGAGTTGCTCTATGATGCTCTATGCGGTCGCATAAAGTAAACATTTACTGAGAAAAAATTCTCGGTTTGCTTCTATGCGGCCGCATAGAGGGTAGGGTCGCATAGTGCTACCAACTATGGAAAAAGTCCATTTTGGTCTTTGTACTTTAATCTTTCACTTCTTGGCATCTTTTCTTCACTCCTTCCATTCCATCATCTCAAAATATCATCAATTGGCATTTGGCTTAATCAATTTCTTGATTTGTTCATCGGGTCAACTTTTGGATAATTGCACCTTGGTCCCTGAACTTTCACTTTGCATCTTTTAGTCTTTTTTCGTGTCTTTCCTCCTGAATTTCACCTTATTCATCGGTGTTTTCTACAATTCACAAATGCAACGAGATTAAGTCACAATTAAATCGTTTTACTCGTAATTAAGTCATGTTTGTGACCTAAATAATCGTGCAAAACACACTTATCATCGGCCCCACACATTTGTGAGTGGATCCCGACCTCTCCCATGTGAGAGGTCAGGTGAGACCGTGTCAACCAACATGTAAACCAATAAGTACAAATGACATAATCCGTGGTTTATATAGGTTTTTGTTCTCCAAACTCAATGGCTCACTTTTGAGGTGTGGCTCTTCCAAATTTTATGACATTGGTATCAGAGCAAGCAATGTGGTTTATATAGGCTTGGGTGAGGCTTAGTTTTGAGATGACAATGTTTCAAGTTCTATGGGATTTAACTTCGAAGAGTGGAGACGACACCTGATAGAGTGGAGTGCGAAAGGATGACTATGCAATAAAATTTTATTTAGATGGCATTTAGCTTGATTTCAACACCTTCTGCCAAAGTACCTATAGTCGAAGAAACTTATCCTGTATTTTAAATTATTAATTTGATTATCAGTTTTGCAGAATCGTTGTGTCAACATGATAGCCCATCTTTTCCATGCCCCTGTTGGTGATGATGAAACAGCAATTGGAGTGGGTACAGTAGGATCATCTGAGGCAATAATGCTTGCAGGTCTTGCTTTTAAAAGGAAGTGGCAAGCAAAGAGAAAGGCACAGGGCAAACCTTATGATAACCCTAACATTGTCACAGGAGCTAATGTGCAGGTTATTGACAAGATTCTTTGTTTCTAATCCATTAACCAATTCTGTGTAATCTTCCTTACACAGTGGCTATTTGGTTTTACTAGATAGGTATTAAAAGTTTTTATATTTTATTATCTGTTGACGTTATATGGTAAAGGAACCTATTGTTCAACTTAAGATATCTGATGCTAAAGACATAATGCAAATACGATCTGAGGGTCATTTTAACTTGTGATAAAATGAACTTGAGCTTCTTCCAGCATTTTTCTTGCATTTTATCTCAGGATTTCATGTAGCAACATGCTGCATCGGTCAGCAATAACCCGAGATTGAAATATGTCCTGATTTTTTATCAACCTTTCAGTTCATTTATATTCAGGGACAGCTTTTTGCTTGGCCTACCTAGCATTAATTTAAATTCTCAATTTCCCCAAAATTAAAATGTTCCAGTTCCTGAGCTAATATATGTCACACTATTTTCATTAATTGATTTTTTTGGGAAGGTGTGCGCCACCTTTTTTTTTCTCATGGTTTGGTTATGCTACAAAGGACTGGTTTTTCAGCGTCATTCCTGGAATTCTGATGCAATTTATATTTCTTAGGTTTGCTGGGAGAAATTTGCGAGGTACTTTGAGGTAGAACTGAAAGAGGTAAAACTTAAGGAAGGATACTACGTTATGGATCCTGCTAAAGCAGTGGAGATGGTAGATGAGAACACAATATGTGTCGCTGCAATTCTGGGTTCTACTTTGACAGGAGAATTTGAGGATGTGAAGCTCCTCAGCGAACTTTTAACAGAGAAAAACAAGGAAACCGGGTGGGACACCCCAATCCACGTTGATGCTGCCAGTGGAGGGTTTATTGCTCCATTTCTTTTCCCGGAACTTGAATGGGATTTTCGCTTGCCTTTGGTAAAGAGCATCAATGTTAGTGGCCACAAGTATGGCCTTGTTTACGCAGGTGTTGGGTGGGTAATATGGCGGAACAAGGATGACTTGCCAGAGGAGCTTGTCTTTCATATCAACTACCTAGGATCTGATCAACCTACATTCACACTCAACTTCTCGAAAGGTAACTCTATCTATTTTCAATTTTTTGTGAGGATGATGTTTTGTGAAAAGTAGATATCCTTCACCCCATTTTACTCTTATTTTCTTGGGTAACTAGGTTTCATTTTTCAAATTTCCTGGAGAATCTCAGTAGGTTGCTGATTTTAAGATATTCTCTGAAGAAGCTAACTGGTAGTATTTACTGCCTAAATATTAAAAAGTGCTATGATGATTTGTAGTGAATTCTTATGACCTTTGTTGGATATTTTGGTATCTCTTACCTGTTTGCTTCGTGTATGTGAAATGAGAAGTGCTTAATGTTGTTGGAATTCTATACTTATGCTACATAGCCAGGTTTCTGGTTTTCATTATTTTACTTGAGAAAAGATGAAGTGAAGTCTACAATTAGACGTTGTTTATAGAAGCTTCTGAAGATAAAGTGCAGCACATTTCTAAACTCAAATGTTTTTCTATATTGGTATAACTGTGACAGTGGATGATGATATATGCTTCTTATGCAAGATAATTTAAGAAGAATACATAAAATCAGAAATTTCACGTTTCTACTGCCTGTTGAAAATAATTTAGTCACTTGTAAGCCATTCATATGGCTCTGGTGCAAAGAAATAAACAGCAGGAGAAATTAATTCCAGCTACAGGCTTGGCAGAGACACTAGCTATTTTGAGATTTTATAGGTCCAATTACTTATTCAAAAAGATGGAGTGAGTTCGACACAGATGACATCCAGGTTAAATTCAATAATGCAGAAAGCTTAGCCATGACTGCTTGCTATTTATATCGTGCTGGGGAAGTCCTAGCATTGGAGTAGTTAACTAACTGATGCTTTTCTTTCTTAATTATATTTTCTTCTTCTAGGATCATGCCAAATCATTGCTCAGTACTATCAGTTCATAAGACTTGGCTTCGAGGTACGTATTTCGACCATATACTGAATCGTCTCTTTAGCTCACAATGATCATTCACATACTTATCTGTTTCATTTATCTATTTGTTTCCCTGAAATTACTATGGTCGGACAGGGATACAAGAGCATCATGGAGAACTGCATGGCGAATGCTAGGTTGCTCAGAGAAGAAATAGCCAAAACTGGGCAGTTCGAGATTGTTTCGAAAGAGTTTGGTGTTCCCTTGGTGGCATTTGCTCTCAAGGACCCCAGCAGATACACGGTTTTCCAAATATCAGAGTCTCTGAGAAGGTTTGGATGGATTGTTCCAGCATATACCATGCCACCAGATGCCGAACACATTGCTGTATTGCGCGTCGTGATTCGAGAGGACTTCAGCCACACCCTGGCAGAGAGACTCGTATCTGACATACAGAAAGTTCTCAAGGAGTTGGATGAATTGCCCCCTCGGGTATCAACTAAGGCTGCTCATGTTTCTGTTGTGGCAGATGAAACACAGAGTGGAAATGTTGACCAGCCTCACCTGAAAAAAAGCGACGTGGAAACTCAGAAGGAAATCTCGAACTATTGGAGAAGGATTTCGGACAAGAAAACCAGTGGTGTCTGTTAGTTTTGGACAAAGCTTCTATCCATTATGCTTATATGGAACTGTATGTAATTTTATGACCTATTGTGTGAAATGCAGGACTAGTTTGTGTTTGTGATAATGTGATGACTTTGTTTTCCTATAAATAATGGCATACTAATAAGCATACCCTTTTTTCCTTTATGGTTCTGTTTATATATTTCCTTGTGAAACTTACACGATGAGGCGCGAAGAACTAAAATCATAACTCGAGGAAATCAACCGATAAATAATAATCACAGATTCTCATGTTCGATCTTCTTATTCTGGCAGTGTTCCTGTCTGTAAATTGAACTTAAAAAGTGGTATTTTCTTTCAGCCATTTTATCTGCTAAGCACGTAGATGATTTCTACAGCGAAAACAAGAGCAATCAAGAAGTGAAATAAAAATTCTAACAGGGTGTCGAAAAGCTCTCATGATTTTGAACCAAATATCCAATACAAAGTCTCTTTCAATCAAGTAGTAGGGTCAATGAAATGATCAGTGGCAGCAATGTATCTTATTTTCAATCGAAGAGGAAAAACCTGAAACTTCACTCTGATAGCTCCTAAAGCAAAAAGTACGTGCACAGGTAGAGAGTCGTGCTTGCGGTTCAAAGTAAAGCGTATTCAGAACCTACTGATATCTTTTTGGATATTATAACATGACATGAAATTAGGCACATCAAACTATGGTATGTAGCTTTTTGATTGGTTAAGCTTTCTTTCTATCAGTGGCCTTTTTCTCTTGAGTGTTTTTGAAGACTTTGAGCCTTTTTCTTCTGATTTTTGTCGCCAATATAGTTCTTAAGAGGCAAAGTCGTTTCTTGGGTCAATTTTAAACTCGACAAATGTAAACATCATCATAGACTTGTGACATTGTTGTGCTATTCAACCCTTGAGCCGAAAGGCATGGCCAGTGCATCTTTTCAACTCGTTATACAGTGAAAAACCTTTTCTTTTGAAGACCAAACTAAAATCATCATTAAGTCACTATCAATATATAAATAAAAGACAATATACATAAGCAGCGAGCTCGTGGGCCACTCTACCCTTATGTGGAACAAAGCAGCAATGACCACTCTCAACGGCACCAATAACTCAACAATGTCAACGAAATCGCCTCACCGGGTGCAAAAGAAAAACAAGATGACAAACCGTCAAAAACTTTTCACACCAATTTATAAATGTACCTATTTGACAACCACTAAAATGAGTTTTTTGGGGGAAAATGAGTTTTAGAATAGTGATTTTTTTTGGAGAACGTGTGGTTAAAACATAGCAAACAAAACTTTGAATTTAAGTGCAGAATACTTTACTATGAGAAAATTCGGTTGAAAAATGAATTTAAGAAAAAAGAGTTCTGTTTTGGATAATGCTATATTTACCTACACATTTTACCGAATCTTTTATCTACACTCCAATAGGAGGGCGGGTCCCACAAGCCGGAACTTTTAAATGCACGCAAGGCCCGCGCGCATGTGAGAGTAGAGCACCAATTCGGTAACCCATTTTTGGTACATATATATTTATCCTTTTGTTTTAGTAGTTGTGAAACAGTGGCAAAGTCAAGTACGCAATGCAAAGGTGTTATATTCCATATTTCCATTAGAGTTAGAATAAAAATTCTCCCAAGGGAATGTATCCATGCCAACAATGACATATATCCTTGTCTTCTACCTACTAACCACAACCTCAAAAGTAAGTTATACTCAAACTACATTAATTTACATCTTATTAATTCCTAGATCCTCTTGTAAACCTTTGTGCAACATAACGAGGCGCCGAAAAACCGGGATTAATAGATGATGTTGATATTAAGGAAAAAAATGACAACATGAGAGGCCGATGGTGGGAGTAATATGTCATTATAGGTCATGAGGTAGGTGTACACTTGGATTGATCTTAAGAAAACTAAAATTTCATGTTCAAATGGTTCAGCTGTTAGCTTTCAGGGGTTCAGTTTAGCAGTTGAGAAGTTCAAATAACTTCTCGACTCAGAAATTCATTTATTATAATGTCTAACAACTCAAAGAATTTCACCCCAAGGAAGCTAAGTAATAAACTTTGTTCATTATATGTGAGATCAGACACTACTTACGTATCAAACATGCTCCTACCCGAAGTCGAAGTGTACTGTTCAAGTAGACTATATTCTCTTGATCAGATTTATGATCCATTTTTTAAGAGCTTCAAAAATATAGTTTACAGTATAAGAGTTTGTTAATGTACACATGTGAGTAAATCCTTTATAGCTATATTTTTTACTGCAAAAATCAAGATTAGTCTTCTGTGTGTATCAGAAGAACTTATAATAATTGGCAAGGAAGTAGGTAAAGCTGGTGAACAGTCGAGAAGTCTGATCCGTGCATGAGAGTTGAGACAGTATGGTCTGATTTTTTTATTTTTATTTTGCATAATTTATAGTTAATGTATTAATTTGTGCGATCATATATATTCATGTTGCATGCATGTATGAAGATTTTTCTGTAACAGTCTCTACAAACGATGAACTATGCGAGTCAAATGCATAAGCATTAGCACTCTGATTTTCCTTTTTTTTTTTTTTTTAATTCGATTGAATGCTGAGAATTTGAGCATTATGATATTCTTTGATTCATGAAGAATAACAAATATTTTTTCACAAAAAAATTAAAATTTCATTAAATTAAATAACTGAAACTACCAACAAAATAGTTATCCATTAGCCCCTATTTGTTTCTCATTCTTTCCCGATTAAAATGAAAAATATGACCGTTATCTATTACATCAAGTCATCAAATTTGAATTTTCATATCTTGTGTGGAGCCCGTAACGACTATATTTTTCATTTTCATTGTTAAAAAAATGGGAAACAAACAGGGCCAAACAAATCTAACTTATCGGCTTCTTCGTTCGGTAAGAAACACAAGAATTATGAACCCTAGTCCAAAACACAACAAACCATAGTAGCAATTTTTAAGAAATTGCACATAATTCTCCAAACTGTATATTGTAATAACAAAGACACTATTTTAATAAAATAATAAAAAAGAAATTTTGAAATCCGAAATCCATGGACTTGGAATTGCAATTAATGTATATATCTGTTAGTTGAAGTTAACGGCAGCAGCTTAGTTAACTTAACATTCTCACAAGACCTTTTATGTCATGTATACAAATGGTGGGTGAAAAATAGAGTCAGTCTTTTAATCAATTAAAAAATAAATAAATTCTCTCAAAAATATACTATAAAAATGAAATAAGAGAATGGTAGGCCAACAGTCAAACAAGTCTTACGTCCCATATAATTAATTATTTTAGTGCAAAAAATAAGTTTTCTTCGGGTAGTTTTTGGATGTTGAGAACATAGGCTGCTCTTTCCAACAGTTAAAAACAATTAATATATAGGTACAGATAAGTCAACAAAATAATTAATTCCATAAATTTGTCACATTTCAAGATTTTCGCTTTATTTTTCTTGTTTTTGCTTTCACATGCATGCGTGCTTAATTCTATTTGATTTCATTGAATTATAAAAAAAATATCACAAAGTATGAGAGATATCTGTGAGAGTTGATACATCATTACAAAATTTTAGAAGAATGAAACTTCTTTGTCAAAAAAAATTGACACCCTTATTAACTTATACTCACATGAGAGTGAGACCCGTGCGGGATTCATGTGAAAAGAGGGAAAAAAAATCCTGCCCCCTTATTGTGCGGAGTCTGATAAGGAGGGTGTCAGACCCTCGTGACATCATATTAGAGTTGATTTTGAAATGGTAAATAACATCATGTCATTTAAAGTATGATGTCATTTGTAGTCCATTGTATGGCATATTTTTATTTACTATTCTCAGGTGATGTAGCGATATGTCAAAATCTGTGTGGGATGCTAGCGAAAAGGTCACCCATGATTTATTTATTTTTACATTATTAAAATTTTGTATTAACTTCCCTTAATTAGTTTACCTTGCAATATATCTGTGCATATATATTTCTTACTATAATAAAAGTAAAGCTCCATTACTTTTGTATCATATTGCTTTTAATAAATTAAATTTATGTATAATTCAACAATATAATTAATGGTTAGCACAATGATTTGAAAAAAATCTCTACGAATAAAAAATATAAGTTGAGTTTTTTTAGCAATAAAATCATGAAAATGCAGATGATAATATCTCAAAATCTCTCTAAAAAATTTGATCAACGGGCACTTCAAATCATAGGTTGAGGTAACTCACTATTAATTTATACTTATTATTTATTTCGGAAACAAAAAATCTTTATTTTTTACTAGTTACTAATGCTCCTTTAAGGTGTTGATTTTCTAGGCGAGGGAAAATTAATAGAAAAATTCATGTTATCGTAACGAAGCACCCTTTGTTTCAAAAAAAGAAAACAAAAAATAATAATGGCTTAATGAACCAAGATTTTAGCTCGATATTTGATTATTCTATTTACAACTTATTATTAAAGCACCTTATCTAAATAATGATATAGTTAAATGGGACACAATATACGTATCATGAATTTGTTGATCTCTTATACTGTCGTATATCATGGTGATCAAACATCTTCCGTATTCTCATTTTCTTCATAATAGGATAGAAGTTTTCGGATTACAAAGAATACATCTTAATTTTGTTAAGATTACAACATAATAAAGACTAAGATGTTTGACGAAAACAATCAATTTAACCAAAACTAAGCCATTGTTTTGTAGAGATTCTTCGAATTTAAGTTTTTTTCAAACTCATTTTCAATCACATATTTTTCCAATAAAAAATTTCCAAATTTTCCTAAAATCAACAAATCATTTTTCGGAAATATATTTTCGAATAAATTTTTTCATCAAAGCTCTATGCTTTATCTTAGTATCCACGTGCAGTTACGAGATCATAGGGCAATTTTCAGTTAGGTCTTGGAAAGGTGGTCATGACCTAAAACTTCCTCTTCTTCTTCACTAAGATCTAACGACAATACCAAACTTTCCCCTCTTATATATAATATTCATTTCAAATTTTTAGATTAGGGTAGCAATTCATTTTTATTTAGTGATTTTTTTTTTCCGTTTTACGGCCAAACGAAAATATTGCATTCATCAGGCATATAAAGGACCCAACTCTTATATTACTCGATTTTATTGAATATATATAGGTTTCAACTATATATTTAAAAAGGGAAAATGAAAAAAGAAAAAATGCTGCTAGGTGGGTATTGTAGGTTGGAATTTCAGAAAGATATTGTAGGAGAACGACGTTTAATCCCACCAAGCAACCTTTTCTCTCTCATAAATCAGAGAGAGAATAATTATTTATATACAATATGGTTATATATATATATATATATATATATATATGTTGTAATTACTTATAAGTGCTTATAATTTTAGTTGCATCAATAAGAGGTGCTGGTATGTCCAAATCCTCCCACTTTCTAACGGAAAACACTTTATTATCTTGAAACCTAATTAAATCCTCTCTTAGCATGTACATTTTTTCTCTCTTTGTCTTCTCCACCTCCACCGGCAAAATTCTTTTCGACCCAAGAATTTCGTCTTATAGAACATATATGTAATACCACTTTTCATCCTTCATCTGCAAAGTTTCTTTATTTTGTTCCAGGGAAGAACTAATTGATATTAGCTGTTTAGAAGAACTAGGGTTTCAAGATTTTTCTGGAAGTTTATCGTTAGCTGGCCGGAGCAGATGTGTAGCAGAGGGCACTGGAGACCAGCTGAAGATGACAAGCTTCGTGAATTGGTCGAACGATATGGACCACATAACTGGAATGCCATAGCTGAAAAGCTACAGGGAAGATCAGGTGAAAAAAATCAATATATCCTTTACATATTCTCTCCACACTAATAATGGATAACCAAATACTACGAAGAATATTAAAGGAGAAATGAAATCGGAGAAAAATTACAAATGATTTTCTTAGGGTTTCCTGTTTATATAAATTTTCAGCTTCATCCCTTGAAATAAATGAAATCTAGCTTGTATTTCTTTCCTCTAAGGGTAAAAGTAATAGATTACAAGCCATAAATACATATACGCGTATGTTTATCTAAATTTGTATCTTATTTTAGTAATAATGAATACACCAACATAATTCTGTTTATAACCATGCTTATTTATTTGGGCATATATTTGATAAAACTTTAGAAGAATTTATTTTTTTTGTTTAATCGTTAGCATATTTGCTCCTTTCATCATAATTTTTCTTATTTTTCTAAGAATAAATTTTTATTTTTATTTTTAAATTTAACTAATATATATATGTGCCATGTTTTGTTCTAGAAGAAGATAGATTTTGTACATAGTTATATATGTTACCTAGATTAATTACTAATATATACATTGAACATGAATTTTTAGATTGCATATAAAGATATTAGATGATGTATTACCTTCACCTGCATGCAACTAATTAATCATATTGAATTAATATTATCAGGGAAGAGTTGTAGGTTGAGGTGGTTCAATCAGTTGGATCCAAGAATTAACCGAAGCCCTTTCACAGAAGAAGAAGAAGAGAGGCTTCTTGCTTGTCATCGGATTCATGGGAACCGATGGGCTATAATTGCTCGGCTCTTCCCCGGTCGTACTGATAATGCTGTGAAAAATCACTGGCATGTTATCATGGGTCGAAAATGGAGAGAGAGGTCGAAAATATACGCCAAAAGATCAGCACAAGCTTTGGGAAATGATCAAAAGCCCTCATCAAATCAAGATATCCCAGTTTTCGACGAAAAAAGTTTGAGCTTTAATCCTTTAGTAGAAAAATATCCTCAGAAATTCGAGTACCCTTTAACGTACAGTCAACCCCTACACCGGAAGGAGCTTCATTCGGACAATATGGTACATCACATGGAGATAGATGAAGGTAATAAATCGATATAAAATCTAAAAATAATTATTTTTTTCTTCTACTTTCCAAATGTTTAAATTTTTTGATGATATGGGTTCATCAATAGCTCTATTGATGGAGTCACGGTTCAAAAACTCATCAATATAATCTTGTGATTGCAGATAGAAGAAAACCAACAATAGAGTTCTACGACTTTCTTCAAGTGAATTCCGATAACTCGAACCGAAATGAAGTAATAGAACATGCAAAGAAGTTAGACGACGAGGACGTGGAGCAGGAACTTGTAGCAGTTCAAAATCAAACGAAGGAGGCTGCTGCTGTTCAGTTTATAAATTTTCTATCAGTTCAAAGAGACTCTTAAATCTTCTTAACTTTGCTTTCTTGAATATAAACAATGCAGGGTTAAATTACGATATCAAGAAGGTTTAGCAGATAATATACTTCTGATTATTCAGTTTTTCAAAACTATAGGATCAATCCTGAATATGCATTGGCAGAGGAATCTGCATGCATGTGTAATTAGGGTATACATGTAGCTTTTATAATTATGTATTGAAAAATTGAATGAAAAGAAAAGAAAAATCTTCATATGAAAGCCTGTTCCTTGTGCTGGTTGATCTTCCATGTATAATTGTTAAGATTATACCTTATATCAGCCTTTTTTTTAATAGATTAATGTATGCTTTTACAACATTTATCTCCATCACATATATTTTGCCCATGTTTGATTCCATTATTTCAAAACTAATTTTTTTTAGAGTCGTTTTCAACCATGTTCTCACTATTTCATGTAAACCCTATTTTTTTTTTAAATACTTTTTGATCGCACATTTTCCAAAAAAGTTCACTATTACAAAACTCATTTTGATGAAATAATTGGCATCAAACATGCATGGTTTATTTCTTGGAAAAAGCAGAAGAAAAAGGTTGAGTGACACGGCCTTTTTACAGGATCTGATTTGACAGTTTTTGATTGGCAATTCTCTGTTTAATTTTTCTTTCAACTGCCAATGAAAATGAATAAAACTACAAAGCTCGTGATTAAATCCGGGGCTTCGATCCAGGGGCCGAGGTGGCCAAATCTCAACCCCTGGATGTGTGTGTGGGTGGCCCCACATGAAAATGATCAAGGGCCGAGGTGATTGCCACCTCGGCTCCGGAGCAGAACCCGAGATTTTATCCCGAGTTCAATCTCAGATTCTGTAGCATGATTCAATGAAAATATGCCAAGTATATGTCTGTCAAAAAATCCTGTTAGCAAAACTGTTATTTCTTTTCAAAATAGCACAGCAATGGTACATTTGGCACGCACCAGGTAACAAATAATTTTATTATATTCGGTGTTAGGTACAAATAATACCTTTATTAAATCAATCCGGAGAGTTTATCCTTTTTTACTTGCACCAAATAAATATTATCTCAACGAGATGTGGTTAAATAGATGGTCCTTCTGTACATGCACCAAATAAATACAACTCAATGAGATGTGTTCAGATAGATGAATTGAATATGTGAATTTATCTATAAGTAAATAATATGTAAGCTTTATTTTAAAGAGATTTTTTATTTGCAGCTTAATATTTTAAAGAGATTTTTTATTTGCAGCTTAATATGGGTTGTGACATGTTTTACATAATTTTTTTTTTAAAAAAAAAAAAACAGTTTTTGAATAGTAAATTTTTGGAGAATGTCTATTTAAAAAGTAGGAAAAAATTTAAGTTTATGTGAAGAATATTTTATTGTGAGAATTTGTGATTGAGAATGAGTATAAGAAAAAAAATGTTTTGAAAGAATTATTACCAAACAGGGGCTAAAATATCTTTTTTGCAAGCCCTTGTTTGTACTCCATTTTAATGAGATTTTGGAAAAATGTATTTTCGAACAGCAATTTGAAAAAAAAAAAAAAGAATCGTTAAAAATTAAGAAAAATTTTGAATTTACATGTAATGTTATTTAATTGAAGAATAAGGAATTGAAAAGAAGAAAGAAAAAATACATAAAATTTTAATGGAGCCCAAACACGAACTAAAATTGATGAATCTCTTTGTATGATTAAGATTTTATGATGCACAAAGTTATTGGACAAATTTCGAAGATAAAAAAATAGGTTTACCTATTTGATTTAGCTAAAAATCAAATTTTAGTAAATTTAAGATAAAAGTTGATAAATGTGTGATTGTAAAGTTAATAAAAGTTGTTGATTCCATGAAATGTAAAATTAAAATTAATTGTTAATTTTAACTTAAATTATTTTTATTTTTTAATAAAACCAAACATGGGCAAGATGTAATTCATTCACTTAAGAACGAAGGATAATCTATCAACATATGGTAATTGAATTTGTTAAAGAAAAATCTTATTTTCAATTTAGAAGTTGAAGAGAGTTATTTATTTATTTATTTGGGATCTAGAGAGTCGTTTGGGAATTCGATATTTGTAAAACGTTGAACACAACGATTTTGAATCATAAGAGAGATTTCATCTTTAACTCGGATAAAGTCAAAGTGCAAAAACAAGAGCTAAGATATATATATATATTTTTTTTTTTTTTATTTTTTTTTAACTTAAAGTAAGTTATTCAAAATATATTTTTAAAAATCTAATCCACCATGTTATACCAAATGCACCCTCGTAACTTCTGTCGCATAATTTTTAAGGAGTTTAGGAGCATTTTCAAAAACTCTTTAAATACAAAATACTCTTTATTTTAAAGAATTAATGTTTAAAAATAATATTCAAGAGACTCTATTTTAATTTTTAAAGTAGAGAATGGATCCGACTTGTCAAATTCAGAGAGTCAAACTTATTCACTGATATAGGTTGGTAGAAGTAGCCACTCTCAATGACAAGCAAGGCAGATCACAGCACTCCGATGCAAGACCATCGACCCTCATAGGGCGTTCTATCACTACGCCGGGAGGAGCATTCTACTATTATGCTCAGGGAGCGCTCTACCACAACTCCCAGAAGGCGTTTTACCACTACGCTCGGGAGGCGCTCTACTACAACCCCCAAAGGGCGTTCTACCACTATCCTTAGAAATCATTTTACCTCTGAGCGAAGTCCTCAACGGGCATGATATTGCTTGTCCAAACACTTAGCCATAAAACCTTTAATGAATTGACCAGGTTCCATGGCCGCTAATACAGGTACAATCTTCAGGCGGGAAGTTAAGGACTCCTCACTTAGAATGTGGGTGTAGTGGGAATACCAACGTGGGACACGTGGCACCACAACCGCCCAGCGGTTACCCAGTGCCTAATATCTATAAATACCCCTGGATGTGACACAGGTAAGGGATTTTTTTCTCTCATTCTCCTTTTAGCCATTTGAATTTCAAATATATTTCTTCCAAGTCTAAAAACTAATTCTCACGCCGAAGGTAAAACGGGGGAGAAAGCCCCGCCTTCATTTTTCAGGTCTTGCATACTTGACGGAGTAGTGGAAACGCCAAACACTACCGGACAAACAGAAGGGTGTTGTTCCACCGCCCTTTCATTCACTAATCTTAATGTACAATATTTGCATTTGAGTAGTGGAAACGCCAAACACTACCGGACAAACAGAAGGGTGTTGTTCCACCGCCCTTTCATTCACTAATCTTAATGTACAATATTTGCATTTAATAAATCATAGATTTCAAAGTATTCAAATCACATTTAAATGAGTAATACTATTTAGCACAATTGATGTTAAAACACTAGTCTAGGCAATACTATTGTGACATTAATTGAGAGGTGTAATTAAATTAATTACTTCATTTTACCTTTCATTGAGCCTATAACTTAACATCATTTAAATTGACGTTCTAGCACTGGTAATGTTATATAACATTATTTTATTTAAATTAATTGATCATTGACATATGAAAAATTATGTTAAATAAAATATGAGGAAAAATCAATAAATGTTTTTTAAGAAAAGTAAAATAAAGGGCCAAATAAAAAGTATTGTTAGAATACTTAAAAATTTTGACTCTCTAAATTTAAAAACTTTCTATAATACATAAGATGTTTGTTATAGATAAATAGTCTTTTGGAGATGCTTTAAGCAAGTTAGAGCATAGAGGTATACATTATAATGTGCGATTAATGTGCTTAATTTCGTCTTCTGGAGACTGATACTGTGAAGCATTTAGGAATCCATAATTAATGGCATTGACTCAGAAAATATTTTTGCAATTTGACGTAATTAAACACATTAATCATGATTTGACATGACTGATAACCACCCAATCCATTAATTTGTGTTGAATATATTTCATTATGTTCTTTAAAACGTGTACAAAATTATATTAATTAATTAATTAAATTATCACTATATAAAAAGGAAAAATTAGAATTGTATCCCTAACCTTTCAATTAGTATAACATTGAATTCCCAACATCTAAAAGTGATTCTACATCTCCAATTTATTTAAATCTATGAATATAATCCTCACTTGATGAAAACATCACAAACATTAAAATCACTTGTATCACATGGTTTATAGTTGGAGGAAAACAACGTCAGACCATTTAGCCCTCGTTTGGCTCCCATTTTCTAGAAATGAAAATAGGTAGAATAATATTTTTTTGAAAACATTCAACTTAAGTCATAAAAGTCGATTGGAATTTAAACATCCACATGAACAATTCTCATCCAATAGATATCCAAATTCACCTATTTAAATAAATTAATCCTCCGTTTGTCATCCATTATTTTACATTCCATCACATCATTTTTTCTACAGTTCTTATTTTCAATCACATATTCTTTATTAAAATAATATTACACGTAAATCAAAAACTTTTTCTTCTTTTTTAACCACACATTTTTTATCAATCTACTATTCCGTAATACATTTTTCAAAATTAAAGGGGTTCAAACACACCCTAAGTACCCTAAACCTCAAAAGTGGGTTGGAGAACCAAACAGCT